AATATTAATTTTGAATATTTTAAGTACCCATAATTTTATAACGAAATTTTTCAAAATCAAGTATTACAATGGAACGTCTTCGTTCGAATCAGTATACAATAAAACTACTTGAAATTAGAAGTTATGCTAAATATTCAAACCAATAGCTTCTAAAAGTCTGTCCCTTAATTCTAACCTAGTAATGGTTCCAAAGCTTTCATTACGAAGCAAAATATTCCATAAATATAAGGGAGAATGTTTATTTTACAAGAAATCTCGTTTTATAATACGACCATCAGTTGTGTAGTAAAAACACATTACCATCCTCGAATTACTCTGGAAGAAATATTCGAGTAACAACCTATATCGAACATTTAATACTCGAAAATGAAAAGTGCTTTTTGAGGTTAACTCTTTCCTCCGTCAAACAAGCTAGGGTATAAAAACGAATAGAAAGGAGCAATAGGTAACAAATCATCCCTTTGTTCCATCACGAACGCCCACACTTGTGATTCAAGTGTCAAAGAAACTTCCGGAACTGCCCAAGATAGAGCGTAAATCGACTGAATATTTTTTCGGTAATTCTATCTTGATGGAACAATACATCTTACAAGCAGTTGGTAAGAATGACTCAGACGTGGCAAGCAGATACGAATAAACTATCAATGCCAAGGTCAACACACATACTATAATATCAGAACATGTATTCTGCTTTAATATATTGAGTGGGTGTTACGAAGAACATCATGTGCTAGAACCGTGACAATATATCTGAATCGTGGTCGTTGAGTGTATTAGCTATTTAAATGGGAAATTACAATATCCGCATAAAACTGATTTTCGTCAAACGCCCTTGAAACATTTCTTCCCCCGAATACGAGTAATGAGTCATTGGCTATGATTAAGCTATATATGTATATAGTAACGCTAGGGTGATTCTACTAGGTCAAATTATATATCACTGTTACAAGTGAAATGAAAAATAAATTACATAGGGAAATTCTATGGCATATATAATTTCGTAGTACATTTAAAAAATATGTAAGTTTGTACATTTCTTAAATGGAGATATACTACTCTAGTCATTCTAAGAATAAAACATGGAAGACAGCGTCATTGAAAATTCGATATATTCAGAGATATTTTATTTAAAAAAAATTTATGCTAAATACTTTCTTTAGAATTTATGAGAATTTACCAAACAATACGAAATTTTCTTTTACAATTTTTCCTTAATTTCTTACAATATTTTTTAACTTTCTTAAAGCAGGAATATAACCTATTTAATTCAGTTTCTAGAATCATCCTGTATGCTCTTGATTTCACCTGATTGAGGGTAGGTCTTAATCAAACTAAAATGTAATAACCTTTTCCGTTTCCAATATTTGGATATTCATAGTTCAATATAACTTGCTTTATACTGTAAAGTACTGGTTAAACAATTGTTTAGCTCTAACATTTAAGAATGTCATGTAAAAATGATAGACAAACAACAAATATCTAATTTGAAAAGCAATATTGAAAACTAACATGAATACAACGATAATTAACATTCTAAGATTAAATAGTATTGACAAATTTGTACTTTGAGCTGTGAGATAAAATAAATTTTAATTTATTCATAAATCCTCAACTAAGATAACAAAAACTTTACAAAAGAATCTGAGACAGGTTATAAATCATTTGCAAATGACACAATCAATAAGCTAGTCACCTAACAAGTTATTACCTCTGTGCTAAACAAATGATCATATATACATAAATCTTAATATCAATATTTTATTAGCCAACATCACACGAACAATGATAATCTGTATCTAAACCAAGAAATCCAGTGATCGCAATCTAACATTTACTTACACAACGATTATCTGCATAGTATTTGTTTTATTTCTGTATATAATGCACGAACCGGTTAGTTCAAATATATGAAACTACTAATCGAAATCAAGAGGGAAGTACATTTTATTTTACTGCTTCCTGTAAATCTAGGAAAATATTTTTCAGTAAAAAATGCAAGCACATACGAACACGTTTTATGTTCACCGTATATCCTTGAACGAAATATTTAGTATAAAAACCGTTCATGGTTGTTACCAAGACGCTAAGACTGCAATCTTTATCGTTTCTCCACGAATTACAAAACGTATAAAGAACGCGATCGTCCAAGCAAGATTTATATAATCGATGCAAGTAAATCGTAAAGCAAATCAACGAGAAGAGTTCAAGATGGCGGGAGCGCCTCGAGATGATATCGCGATAATTGGAATTCGATATTAGAATCAACCGTTGCACTGAAATCCGTCACTTAACCAAAAAGATTACGCAAAACTAACCGTAATTGTCAATCGTGAAGAGATCTAAAACGTATGTGAGAAGAGACGGTGAATTATATTTAGCACATTTCTTAGCCGAACATTCAGTGCCGTGTTCGAAAATAAACAAGTCTCGTAGAGAGTTTCAAACCATCCTCCCGAAATATCTTCGAAAATATTAACCTATTAACTGTATTGTTAAAATTTTCTACAATCATGTAATTACATCACCTTCTACGTATACGATCAGGAGATAAAAACATCAATAAACAAATTGTCATTGAACTAATAATATATTCAAATGTACTCAAAGAATGTTAAATATTCATGTGCTTCTTTACCTGGAAAACACAATTCTGTGTCTTCGATTTATTTCCTTATATAAAATCGTTCCTTTTAGAATAAGCCAGTAATCCATTTGTATCACGTAGGTACACATCACGACCACCACGATTGCATTACATTGCATTTCGTTTCATGAATACACGCTACCGACACGCGAGATAGTTCCTATAATTATCGATTGACATGAACGTGACACGCGGAAAGATCGAAGAAAGCATGCGCGCCCTCTCGGTTCGAAGAATTGTATTTTATTTTGGTTCGTAGTCTTACTCATAACTCAATCTAAATAATGTATCGAACTACATCGTGTTCCTGGAATTGAAATAGAATAGAATTTCTAACTTCATGAAATAAATATACGAAAAATTGTGTATTGAAAATTCAATCACCTGATTGGTTATACATATTCAGAACGACCTAACCTTACGCATTGGAAACCACGCGACGAGTTTACATTGTAGGTATTTAACGAAGGCCGTTACTGCAACAGAATTCTGAGCGAAACTATACTTTACTTCCTTAGTGACGTAAATGGCGTCTCGAATGAAGTTACTTGATCTTGTTATTCGCTATACGCGTATCGTCATCTTTCCATCAGAACTTCATTAACGAAGTAATCAACGCATAATAAAAGTTATTTACGCGAATATAGGTAATATATATTTATTTCGTATCGTACAACCACGTTCGTTGAAATAATTACTGTCGAACTCATCCGTTAACGATAACATTCTTCATAATATTGCTCCCGCATGCTGACGAAAATATCTTTGTCGTGCACTATCGCCAGTATCGGGAACGCGAAAAGGTCAGCGTAACTTGCGAAGATGAAGATCCGTAAACAGACGATGTTGTGTCTCTTAGTATTGTCATTTCGCGTATTCTTATATATGGTGTTTTGTAATATAGGAACTTCAAAGAAAAATTAAGGTTAAAAGTTTATACGAACATAGTTATACTTAACATTGTTTATGAACAGTAGTTATATTGATATTCAAATATTACTTTTGATAATATAATACAAGTCATTCGATATTGCAAATTCCTTTTAATGTCTCTTTATATATCATAAACATTTTTTCTTTTTTTTTTTTTTTTTTTTTTTTTTTTGGAGAGGAGGAGATAAACAAGAGCTTTCGCATAAACTTTTTGTATTGTTTCTGTTTCAATGATAATAGTTGTACGAGATAATCGTATCTTTCGGAAATAATTATTTAAACAAATTCATATCGTACAGATATAATTGTAATTGGGATGATATGTACATACTACTTATCATTCGCTAAATTGTTATTAATTACAGTCAATAATTTTGAAACTAAACGTGTTTTACGGCATAAAGTAATTTAACATTAATAGTACGAGGATGCATATCACTGGGACATTTATTTTTCTATACAGGGTGAATCATGCGATTGGGATGAACAGTATCTGCCGTTTGGTTGAAGATAAAAAACAGTCGTGGTGGGAGTGGGGTTAAGTGGTATAACGAAGTTTATCTTTCTACGACCTCAATTTTTTCGTAAGTGCAACGATGTGTTTGCAAAGTGCACTTGACGTTTTTTTTACAATACATATTTTCAGACAAGTTAATTATTTGAAAATATAATAAAGCGTTCAAAAAGATAAATATTCTTACACTGACACGAAAAATGGGAAATTAATGAAGAGGTAAAAATTAATGAAAAATACTTCAAATTAATAACTCGCTATTTCAATTCGAGAAAGATATGTCTTATAAATAATATTAACTCCAATTTAGATGCATCTCAAGAGGAAGCTTACAACTATAACACCTGCGACAATCTTCGTTGAGCACAATTAACAATAAGCTCGTAAAGGAATATATTACTCACAGCACTTGGGAGATTAGAACAATATATTCGAATAGCTTTTGAAAATAAATCAAGTCCCAAAGCCAAATGAAATGCTTCACGTTCAGTATTGCAATACCTTTACTGAATAATTATTATTTAAATAACTGAATATTTTGTTTAAAATATTCGAACATTCAAATAGATAAGTATGTACTTCATCTTATTATTTTACTTATTTAAAAAATTGTGTACCTCTACCAACAAAGATTTCCATGTAAAATTCCAATAAAAATGAGTATTTCAAAATGATGACATGATACTAAATTGTCTAAGAAGTTAAGTCGACTAACGTTTCTAACTATAAAAAATAAATCTTATGAAGACAACATATTAAACTAGTCAAAAAAATTACCTTTGGTTAATTATATTGATCACAAATATTTTATACTCTTCAGCACCTTACAGATTTTTCTTTTTTTCAGGCATTACAAATCAAAAAGCCAAAATTTGATTAAGAGGAAAAGTTTATAAAAAATACACTTACCTTTTCAGACAGAAGACCAGCTGTCGGTGTACGATCATTAGGATTGGACTCGGGAATTGGTTCGTTCGGATTATCCATGTGCATTCCTGGCCAACCGACCCAGACGCCATTTCCGCTTATGACCACCGGTGCTACCGCTGTCACAAGACCTCCGGCACTGAAACAGAAGAAACGCACCAACATTATCAAAAGGAAGCGACGCCAGAGAAAATGCAAATATAAAAGAATGGTGTGCGTACAAGAGTGTGCGTACAAGAGTGTGCGAACATGACAAATGTCGATATAGAAAATCGGTCTCACAAGGAGGCTCATGGAGCACAAACAGACTGTTATTCACTGTTTCCTTGAATATGTTTACTTCGTGAACTTTCAATGATAATAGTTATTTGCCATGATCGCTATCTGGATGGTTTTAAAATTTAAAAAAAAGAGAATTTAATGGCACTGGATAATAAAAGACAATGTTAATGATTAATGATATTTTGAACAAATGAGAATAAGTGTAGAGTACAAGAGTATTCGTGTATTCTACGTTTCATTTCTTTGATGTTAATTTCTTATAATCGGATCATAGTATTTTTAAGCCTTAAGAGATTTAATATGTTTAAAAATAATCAATCAATATATACATTCCTACATAAATCTACATAAGCCACTGTAATCTATAAGTCATGAAACAGCTGCTAATCTTGAATAGAATGTTTGATATTTTTAACATCTTCTACCTATCAGTGATTTTATAACTTAAAACATCTTGTATAATATAAACACTAGTACGGATTAACTAATAATTTTTATTAACAAATTGTATCATTTTGTAACATAATTTGTACTTGTTCTAAATAGTCTATAGATGGAAGTCTAGATGCTAAAGAGGAAAAAGATTCAGTGTATAAATACGTTTTCATATGTTTCGAATATGTCTCATTGATTAGTCTTTTCAACATCAATACAAGTATTAAAGAAATCTACCAGTTTCCGCCTTTAATCCATCTATAGTCTATACAATAATAATAAAGATAGCGACATAGCCTATGAAAAAAATACCCCGTGCGTAAATATAAAAGTTCACCGAGTGGCCGCCATCACGTATCGAGCGATAAAACGGGGATAATATTGAAAGACGTCTTCGATCAACTCTCGCTGCAACGGCTTGTCGGAACATACACAGGCAAACTGTATTTACATAATGACAAATACATAGCGATTGTGTCAATCGCACGAGTGCATCGTATATTCTCAGTTTTATATAATCGACTGTACGAACCATATTTAACCATTTTATTATGGTCATTATTATGATAAGTTTTTTCTGTGGTATAACATTTACGAATACTTTCCTCGTGTTGAAATCTGAACGAGTATATGTCAGTAAACATTTAGAGTACATCTAATATTTATCATTTAATGCAAACTGAATACAATAGTAGTAGTAAAAAGATGAAATTAATCTATGAATGTAAAAATCATTGTAAATATAATACTACATTTTTAATTTTTAAAATAAAGTAATTACTGTTAGATATTTTACAATTATGATGTCTTTTTGCACCCAGATTCGCACAATCTTTATCAATCTTAAACATATTCCAAAAGTTTAGTTATCCACTTTTGAAACACCCTATATTACTGATCAATAATCCCTTCCAGCTGTTCGTTCCCATTAATCCCGCAAACACAACAACTCGTATTCCAAACGAAAACATGTCATATATTGGTTCATTCTATATTCCTTAAGGACACGTGTATACAATCCAGTTGGATATATGATCACGTGATAACTTCTCCAGAATGTCCGCGATTCCAAGCGTCCTTTGACCTCGGTCCATATATCTAACCCAAACCTAACCTACTGAAAGAGCTCGTGAATGGACTCGAGCGTTCGCCGACTACGTCATTGGTACGCCATGATTATAAATTTGTAATGGAACTTGGCTAGAATTCAGCGTGTGCAAAGGGACTCGGCTGATCGAATGTCAGGCTGATCGTTCGTCGTAGACTAGGTCAAACCGAACATCTTTATTCGTTTACCCTCGATATCCTTGTTAACAACGTTCTCAATAACTTTACTTATCACGATTTTTCAGGTACGATCTATTTCAATGAATTGCAGGATACAACGTATGTGATTGAAATTTTGAACCTGGAACCATGAAAATATACTTATTTTTAATATAGAATATTAAAGTTTTAGAGTTACCACTATCATCCACTGGTAATCTCTACCCATTCTCATTGTTGAATTTCATATTACATGACAACATATCCTCAGAATCCCAAAACCGTAAATACTGTTAAGGAAATAAAAATTTATAGAATGAATACCTAATTCACGGAGTTTAAATATAAATGGATAACACGTGACCATACATATGAATTTTATTGTCCGAAGTTATTATCATATCAACATCATATCAACACGGAAGCCATTGATGCACGCTATTATTATGACTGGATTACACGAATACGAGCTATTTCGGGAATGCCACAATTTCAACGCGTATATACCTACGAATTTCAGTTCAAGCGAGGCACGCTCGAATCTCGTTATTTGCGCACTTCGCTGTGTAACAATCGCGTTCGAAAAAGTAACCTCCCACGCCCTTGTTCTCGACACGTCGAGATTCTCGTACGGGAGAAAAAAAAGCACTCGTTTGACACGAATCTCGAACAGCTGTTATTTTTAAGCGCGCTTGATTAACACGCTTGTTGGAGCGACATTACTCAACCTGTGTTCGATTGAATTGGTACATTGTTCAAAATAATCAAAAAGTCGCGCTTTTTATGCAATTTCTACGAATTAATGAAATAATCCAAATTAAAATAATTATACTTTGTTCTTCTTTCCAATGGCTACAATTTAAACATAAATCTAATTACGAGTTGGATTACTAACTCGAACATATAGGAATTTGTTTTAGTTTCTATTATGTAACATTAAAAGTAAACATTAAACGTAAAGTTAATTATACAAAAAGAAATATTATCTTTTCGGCCATTTGAACTAGAACCTCACTACCAAATTGATTTTTAGTAACTCTATTATTGTGCCACATATTATTCAAACTAACATTTTTCCCTCTCAACATCCGTCTTACATAATAATATTTCTAAAACAATACAAATCACTATTTACAAAAATATACATATATTTTGTAAATAATTGTTAATAATTAAAAAATAAACGCATAATTTCAAGACCTACTTCATTTTGAATTTAATAACCTACCAACTGCATCTTAAAAAAAATGTTTAAAAAAACTACATGACAATCTATATACCACGAAACGTGCTAAAACATGTCAACATAGCAAAGCAATCACCTATTCGTTAAAAAAAAAAGAAAAATGTGTAAACCACACACGTGCACCCTACGCATCCGATTTCAAACAGCGATCAATTCCAACGATGACGAAGTTCGTGTTTTTCCACATTTATTGTGACCCTGTCATGCGAACCGAGGAAGTAACGACTGCGACAATCGTGATAATATATTACACGGCGCACGTAACACGCGCAGGGCAACACGCGGAAAGCACGTGGTTCTACCGGCGAATACCTTGTGAATGAGTGCGCTCGTATGCGTACACCTACTTATGTTACCACTACACTTTTTATCGACGCTGCTTAAGATCACTTTTATCGTTATCTGAAGGTACTCAGATCAGTAAATATAGGCTATACCCCGCCTCATTGAAGAAGTGCAATTAATGATTCTTGGAAATGTTGGGAGATTTTGGAGATCAAGAATAGCTCAGTACGTATCGTTATCAGACAAGCATATCGCGTAATAACGTAGAGAAGAATTCAAAAAAGAACGAACACCTGTAGATAAGAATGTATAACAAACGTAACGTGATCGTTTTTCGAGTAACACGCCACACGATTCGGAAAACTTCCATGGAATTTTTGCTTCCCACCAAAACGATTATGCTATCATTTGTGTTGCTTGTTTTCGTTATAATTTCCTCTTCATCGCTCTTCTTCCTGTCTTAATTTACTTTTCATTTATTTTCGCACCAATTTCTTCGAGCTTTGAAGTAACGAATGTTTCGTGTGAATGTTGCAACGTCCAACAGTTGCGACTGTCTATAGGAATATACCTATCACTACGACGTTCATTAACCTACAACACGAACGTTGTACTTTACGTATTTTCACCAATATAACATTATGATTGACAAGTTGAAGTTTGTTTCTAATAAAATAATGGACAATGATCTGTTTTATTTAAAATTAAAAATTAGAAAAATTTGTTTCATTAGTTTAAACTTGACTATATAGTATATAAAATTCACCTTATAGAAATCGAACTGTTTCTAGGTTATGGCCAATATTTTCCTATTCCACGTTATGTCTTTTCTATTCTTGAAATAGTGTAAACAAAAATCATAACTTCTTTATCTTTTCTTCGTTAAAATGGAACATTCCTCAGTCATGATCAATGCTTGTATAATAATACCACAATACTTGTGAAAAATGACATCCACTGCGTCGTCCATTGCTTTGACGCTTCTGTGACCATACCTTAACTTTGCTGCCATCTGTGGCAAGAATATAAACGATCACGAAAGACGCAAAAAGGATCCAAGATCAACTTTCTTTGTTTATTTTGTCTTCAATTGATCATCTTTAGTGTCTATTTACAGATAATTGTCTTCAATCTCATTTTTTAACAATCGTAATCGACTCGATGCTGTATTTGCAAAACGTATCTCGTGATTAGATTAGATTCGATTTGAAAAGAAATTTATTTGTCTTAGAGGAAAAAACAATTAGGGTGGAGTATAGTTACTTTTATCTCCGCTGCGACTTGATTAATCATTATTTCAATTACTGATCACGCATGCTTTTCTATTTTTTGCCCGTAGACGGTTATTTATTAACATGGTATCAACAAACGATACCGTGATTCACGCAAATAAGCAGATTAGATTCTCCTCTTATGTCACCGGAGCCAGATAACGGTTGTCTTCATCGACTGACACGCGTTTTGAAATACACGGCGACACAACAAACAACTGATTCCCGTTATGAGCCACCTCTAGTCAGTTTTGAAGCATGTTGCAACATAACCTCATTGCGAATCGGTGGATAATGTCGAAAATAATGATTTACGATATTTGAAATCGTAAATTTCGAAAGGTATCATGTTGTCGCGAAGTGATTACTTGATGGTAAATAATCGTATTAATAGAACACAAATATGGACACAAACGTAAGTGAAACGCAAATCGAATTTTGAAAAATGACTATGTTCAAAAGACTAAAACTGTCAGCTGTATTTAAAGCAATCTTTTCTTATCATTATCATTTTATATTTATAATTAAAATAATTATAATTCTTTTTATTACTATTTTTCTTATATTATTATCCTTTAAAAAATCATAGAATAATCACATTTATAATTATGTTCCACGATTTTATTTACAGTTGTATCTATCATGGAAACTAATTCGTGAATCTTATTCCATCCTTCTGAATCATCCCCAAAAGATATTAACAAGCTATACTTCATCGCTCTAAAAGTTTGTACAATCTTTTCTGAATATTTAATATCAAGTTAATTACTACGTAAGTATACTTCGAAAATTATATTTATAGCGACAGTTTCTCAGAACAGAGGATACCTTTCGTTTCGTGTTAGAATAAGCAAAAATTAACAAACATCATTTTCGTTCGATAGTTTTGTGGCTTTTTAACCCGAATTTGCATCATCGTTAACAAGGAGAGTACAAGACCTTTAGGATTCCGATTTACTTGAAACTTTGCAGGTTTGTATATTTCGTTATCCTGATTATAAATATGTATTATAAGGGCAGATACTCCAAGGCTGCGAATCATATATTTTTGAAAATTGTAGGCATACTGAATTCTTTAGAGCATCTAACAAAGGATTTTGTATAAATGCAACGAAGTGCGCCATGTAATTTAACATCAAATAAAAAAATGGTAAGTAAATATTACAACCCTGATCTACAAACCCGTGTTCTCAACGATTTTACCGAATTATTCATCTTACAGTTACTGTTTATATTGCAAGAAATGATAAGGCAATCCTCATGCATCGTAGTTGAAAGAGTTCCTCCGTTCATTTTTGCAAGTGGAACAAACTCAAAAGCTCTTGAAAGGAAGGTGACTCAATGAGTCCAGGGGGTGAATCGATCCAGAGGGTGAAAATGCATCGAGTTCTACGGATTACGAAAAATTTCGTCAGCCCCTTTGCCCTATATAGAAGGCAAGTCTTCCGACGTAATACACCACGCGCGATGTGTAATCAAGTACTATTTTTCGCGGACCATAAATAAACATTGCGAGCGCAAGATCGACGTACATCGGCTGCTAAGTCACAATTGACAATAATTTTATTTGTGCGACGTCCACGTGGCGATTAAAGGAAAAAAAAGAATATATTGCGTAAGAAGCGATCACAGGACCATGAAAAATTGTGATTAATGAAACGACTTAAGCCACAATTCGTTGCACTAGGATTTCTAGTAATTGTTGAAAATTACACGAATTATATGTAATTTCTTCGAAGTATTCGAAAATTGTGACGAATAACAAAATTATTTGAATTTTATTTTCAAATATGGTCACGCTTTTCTAAACATTGTTTGTGACAAATATTACACTTTGAATACTAAGAATAATTTTTTAATTAATTTTGCTAAATATAAATTAGATAACACTAAATTTATATTTATCGTTATATCAATCTAATTTAATTTTAATTTCGATCATACTCAAAATTTGTCTTTTAATAGAAACGTTTAAAAGAATAAGAATATACATAACCGAAGATCTATCGTTGGAACAAAAGATGCTTTAACTGCTCTTAACGGTACACAAACAAGACGATTTATCTGAGAACTCTATCGATTATGTTCAATTGTCATGTTAACAACAGTATTGATAAAAAGGACCGAAAAAAGAATACAGTTGACAACACGGCAATAAAAGATTAGATGGATGACTATGTCAATCGAATATTAAATATTCAATTCTCTAATCAATCTGAATAATTAGAAGAAGAAAAAGGAATTTCATGTCCATTATTTTAAATATTTTCAATGCTTTCAAATATCCTACAAATACAGAAAAAATATTTTATTGTTGAATATAATAACGAGAAATGTACAAAATAATAAATATGCCAATAAAGACATCGAACTAATCAAAAATTACACAAACAAGGGAATCCACGACACCGTAAATTTCCCCCTTTCCTTCCATCAATACGTCCTCCGTCGATATTTCTATCGACTTGTTTGCGCAACGGAATAAATTACCGCACGATCGAATATTCATTCTGAGGAATACCATCAACTTCGTTGATCCTGCAAATCTCTTAACAACGTAACAATCCGTGATCGCGAATCTTATACACGTTTGACATATCGATCAACCGTTCTTCCTTCATACCGATTACGTACTGAAATCGAACTTTAGTTGCATAAACACCGCAACAGATACGAGCCATAGAAATAGCATATTTTTTAAATCGAGACCAAAGTCAAAATCGTAGTAAAAATTCATTAATAATACAGCTCGTATCGCGTTTGCAATTAGCTATTCGCGAGAATAAGCCACGCTACTGGAAGACGTGCGTTATATACGTGTGAAATGAAAGGAGAAAAATCAAAGTGAAACACCAAAGTAAAAAAATTGCAATAAAAAATCAGGGCATTCGAGGATTATAAGCATAATAACGTTGAGGTAATATCACGCTCCATCCGCGATCGGGTCGCGTTGCAACGACCACGAGTGGCGTGCACCCACGCGTGCACCCATCGTGCAGCCGCAAAACGCGACCATGTGTGCGTAAGAGGTAAATATAGAGAAAGAGAGACAGTAAGACGAGCATGAGTAACGAGGTGCATGTAAGCGAAGGAAACGAAAAGATATAAAACAGAAAAAATAAGGAATAATAATGAAAAAAGACAAAAGCCATTTACTCTGGCATACTAACCTGGCCTTGCGTTCCAGCTGACCGGTTACATCGTTCCTCTTCAACACGAACGGCAACCTGTTGCTCACGACGATCATTCTCCCATTGGAGGTGAAGCTACCAGATTCTGTAGACATTTTGACGTTCTCTGATCAGCTGTGTCAAACTGTGTGTTCCGTGGAAAAAAAAGAAGACACCGCGAATGGGTAATAACGTCGCGCGACTCCACACACGAGCGTCTCTCCTCTTTCTCTTCGGTTCGTGTTCTATACGCGCCGGCCACCGGTTCGACAGCGCTACTCTACTATACCAAGCGTCGCGTATCACGTGCGATCACGTGTGTTACACACGATGTGTATGCAAAACTGAAGTCGAAGGAGAACCGCGCCGGTTAGTCTCTCGGTCTGGCTCGTAGTCTCTCCTCGTCGTCGAGCGCCGCGCGAGATGACACTTCTCGCTGTTCCTCGTATCGTCCCCTTTAGAGCTGTGCCTTTAACGCGACTCAGTGTCGCGTGCTTGCAAGCAGAACAGTTCCGTCTCGTTCTGTCTCGTCCGGTTTCGTTTGGTCTCGTTTGCTTTCGCCCGATCTTCGTGTCTCTCTATTTCTTTTTCGTTCTACTCCGAGTGGTGCGAGAGAACGTTCCTCGTGTCTATCGTGAACCTAATTATCCGTGCGTGGTTAAGTCACAGTGACCAACGGCTCGACCCGCCCTCTCTTTATCTCGTCCTCGAGTGCGGTTCAAACGCAGAACGGCAATAAGGGAAATTGTACAAAAATAATACAGAATAACACGGGTTAAGAAGGGGCAGAGAGAGAGAGAGAGAGAGAGAGAGAGAGGGAGAGAGAGAGAGAGAGAGTAATGGAGGGAGTAACGTGAGACACAAATCGAGTTACGCAGGGTAAAGGAGGAATAGAAATGAGTGAAAGCTTAAGAGAAAGAGTCCAAGACAGATCGCCTAGCGAATGGAGAAAGAGAGTGGTTAATTAGTAGGTGTAAGTGAGCCGCGGTGCGTGGCCAAAGTAGCACTGAAGTAATAACGCCGCGTTCCTCTGAGTTTATTCGAGTTACCCGTCGTGAGGAATTGGTCCAAAGTGCGCTCTCTCTACGACCGTATCAATGACGGGGCCGCGACCTTTTGGCCACCCAGCGCACACCACCACCACCCCCACTATCTCCACCACCACCACCATCGCCACCACCACCATCATCGCCACCACCACCATCATCGTCGTCGTCATCGTCATCATCATCGTTACTACCACCGTTGCCACCTCTACAGTCAATATCATCGCCCCACCGTCACCACATGTAAACATACGCTACCTCCTACTTCTTTCCTGCTTTTTCCCTCTCTTTGCTATGACGACGCAACGTGTCGTCGTGTGTCGTGACAGACGATCAGGGTTATCTCCCGTTATCTTTTAATTCCCGGATAACATGCTAATGGACAGCACGTACGCTGTCGGCGTCGCGGCCAGCTGTACACGTTGTACTGGCGCTCGACTGTCAACACGTTCGCGACAGATAACTGATTCATAAGACGCGATCGGTACTACTGTATTATTGACTTTTCCGTCCTTCGTTATTCGTAAAATAATCCAGCATGTCACGCTAAACACAACCATTGTATACCAACACAGGGTTAACCGATGCCAACTCGCAACTCGACGACGAGCAGTCTACCCGTGGCTCGACCGATCTCTATTCCTCCTTTCGTTTTCGTCGTTGTTATACGAGAAAGGATATCTCGTGTTATTGACCGATGAGAAATGAAACGGCGCCAAAATGTACTCCGATGCCCGATTTTGCCTCGTTGGTTTGACGATGGTATTTTGCTAACAAGATTATAACGATTTCTGACTAATCTAAATATCCAATGTACATGTATCGCGAGAGAGGGGTAGAATAATACCGTGGCGATATGTTTTCTTATTTTTCCTGCTCGATCTTAACCGTTCAGCGATCCTTGTGTGCTGTCCAACTTGTTTTTCGTTGATCAAAGTCGAATAGGGTAGCGATTAATGGGGAGTTACGTAACCAAGCTACGATTGTAAGTAGAAAAGCGTTAAAATCTATAGCGAATGAAATCGAGGAGCTTTGACATTCTGACCTTGAAAATATGTACGCTGTTGCTGCGCGTATCTTTTCTGCAGATAACGAGTACCGATCGAATTGTTTCACTGTGACGTACAATCCTGGTAAATATTTGAGGTCAGCTTTGTCAAAGTTGCATGCACTTCTCGTTTCCTTGAGATAAACGAAGCAGAAACTGTGTATACACGCTAGAAGCATGTTTCGTACAGTATGATCGAGTGTTTGGGAAAGCCGGTATCAGCGAGTTTAATGTTAGAAACATGGGAAACTATAACGTATCGAGAAAAAAATATTAAGAAATTAATAAGACGATTTATACGTATGAGATACCTGACATACCGGTGTACGATATAGCAGCCAGTTTGTTTAGTACGAAATCCAAACAAAACAAAAAATCCTTGAACGATTTGAACTGTATTTGGTAAAGCACATGCCAAATGTTAATCCAGATTCTATGCCAAAGCTTGCTTTCCTACATAGTTCTATCTTCAGTAACGATTATTGTAATTTAATTCCCCCATCGAGGCCACTCTGATATTATCATAAAATCTGCAATAAAAATCACTGTTCTACATAACGTGCATAAAAACCAACAGCTGTATAATTTTATGTAATTCCTATTATGCGAATAGAAATTCTTATTCAATTACGTAATATGGAAACTGTAATTGTAATAGTTGGATTATAAATATCGAAACGGTACTTTCAGACAATTTCAAATGTAACTAATTTTGCACCATTGATTATACAGTTCGTATAGAATGCCGTCGTAATAAGCATATAACCTAGTTATTAGATATTCGATGATACACGAATAACTAATAAAAGGATTTTTTTTCGTATCGTTTAGGATGTGAATAAAGGAAAAATAAAATCGTACCTTATTCCTTCACCTATGCATGCAGTTTCTGTTCGATATGAAAATTTTTAATACAGCAAAAGTTCGTAGCGTACAACACAGGGATCGAATAATCTGGAGAACCGACACTTAAAACACATATATAATGAGTAATAACGTAAATTCACGGTCTACGCAGAAAAATATTTACAATTGCCGTCTTAATTTTGTATTATCTTTCAGTACCGTGATAATTTGAATTCGGATGAGCTTCTCGAAAGATCACCATTTATCGGCTATGAAATCGTCCATTTGTCCTCATGAATAATCTATGACAAGACGAAATAAAATTGCTATAAATATTTAGACTCGTTGTGTTCTAACCTACAATTATCGATATCGCTGTTTGGCGAATTGCAATGAAAAGAAAAAGAAATAAAAATTTTTGTTGATACCTTTTCCTTCGTTCGGTTGGATCGATACTTTAATAGCGTAACTGTCGCGGTGATCAAGTCTAATGACGTTTAAGTCATCTAATTAAGGGGCGTTTTTTCTTGTAAAATATAAATCTAACTGATCTGCTTGACTATAAAGAGAATGTCGAATTTTTCTGCTGAAATATTGTCTTGACGTTCTTTGACGAGGGGAAGAAAAAATACGTTATCGTCATGTTATCGTCACGTGTTAGTATTAGCTAATAACAAGCTAGAGAATAACGAAGAAAATTGGCACGCGGCACATAGGTCTTTCCTCCATGAGTAAAATGGTTCCACTGGAGCCTGACGTAGCTGAGAGACAAGTGTCGAGTTGCAAACAATACAGGATTGCATTATACATATACGCGAGTCAACCATGAGGAACCGGTAAAAATTAACAACGCATGATCGGAAATTAGACGCCACATCATCGTCTACGCTTACACTATTCAAAGAGTACCGAGATAAATCTATATTTTTTGCACACTTTTATGCATTCAGACATATATTACGCAACATACTTCAGAGCGTTCCGTATTTATAATTAATTTGCGAAACGTGCCTTTATCGCCAATTCCAATTTTGTTATCAACCTATTTAAAGTACTATATCGAGAATAAAATGAAATAAATAATATTGTATTTATATGCTTTTTAGAATGATCGTGCGATTTTTACTTTCATACAATTATTTACAACTAATAAATATATGTTCGAATGCAATATTCTTATTGTTCACAATAATTTTACTACGTACTAAAATAATTTATAGTATGCTTTCATAATCTCTTACATTACATATTACCACTTGTTCACAGCTAAAGTAACGGAACAATTTTGAATATTATAAAAAGAGAAATAGAAATGTCAATTTTGTAAAGGCACGAGGAAAAGACACAAAACGTCAACGGTTAGTTCGTTTCTTTTTAAATGAAGTTATACAAACAACATATATACAGTTACCTGTCTAAAAAGAAAGTCTAGGTTAACTACTGCGTGATTAAATGTTGTTATTAAGAAATGAAAATAAATTCATTCAAGACAAGTTTCACTATTTTCTAAAATTGTTTTTCTTCTTAACAAGCAACGAAAATAAATATTCTTTCCAATTCCGTAATGTCCATGAGTATTGCACATTTCGTGTTTGGTCGTAATACTTCGTGAAAATTCGGTGGAATTCGATAAACTTCGACGCAATTGGCAAACAGCATGTGCGTCGAAAATAAGCGCGAAACCGGTATATTTTTTTTTTTGTCCTCTAACGGAATAGGTCGGTAATATTAACGCATACAAAATTTAAATTTCTGTAAACTAATAATTTCATCGATTCTATGAAGTATTATAAGATTCCTAATATTGTTAACTATGATATTTGGCTACAATATATATAATAACAATAACTTAATATATTTAAAAAATTAATAAAATATTAAAATTTATGTAATGCATTAACTGTAGTATAATAACAGCAAATAATAGAAATGAAACACTGTTCGGCTAATTTTACGAACGCACTATATTTCTCATGACGAAAATGACAAAATTGAAAGCAGAAAATATTTCGAATTGTTCTACTTTGTAAATTTTATACACCTTCAGTCGAGTCAAGATGATATGAACACCCACCTCAAAAGACTAGCTTCGACGTTTAATTGTACATAGGCAGAAATATTAAATGCACAGACACAATAATTAATACCACTACGCCAACGAAGAGCTCAATATTAACTAACGCACTCACATATATCCTGATATTTCGAGATGACACTACTGATAACTAGTTCCTTTCTCGCGAAGTTTTGGATCGCTGGAATTGCTGACCGAATCGATTGTTATGGCCTATAATACTGAGTGACAACTAAATAAGAAACTGTAGGAAATTCCCTAGGAAATATTGCAAGTTTTTATATTCAATTTGAATTTCACTGTATAATTAATATTTGTAAATGTTAAATCTTGATACTTCACGTACAAATATAATATGAATGACTAATAAAATTGATATAAATAGTATACATTGTTTTTTTAGGAATGAAAATCTGTGGACTAAATATTCTTAAACATAATTGTTATTTTTTATATAAATACTTATTTCCGGGTTTATATTATTAATTTCTTAAGAAAGTACAGTAAATCAGCGATAAATATTTATTTTTCATTATCGAGGATGAAATTTTTAAACCATTTGTTTCAATCGAAGTTTAAATTGGCTATCCTGTAAATATAAACCAAATATCATACAAAAAAGATTATAAAATATATGTATATATTTATATATATATATGTGTATATATATATATATCGCTTTTAAAAATTGAAAGTGATATATAAATTTTTATTATATACAATTACTATTATATTTAATCATTGCCTTATACAAATATTGAATACAAACTTTATAGGAATGTCGAGAGGGGAAAATTTAAATCCCCTCAATGTCATTTCGGTGTACACTCCTGATGGCACATGTATAACCTTCTGAAACTTGAACTACGTTGGATAGAAATCCAATAATTACAATTATATTAAATTGATTTTAAATGCTTTTTTGAAAACTAAAAGCTAAATAACATTGTCACTGAACTGTTATAAAAAATAATAACAAGTTTAACATAAGTTTATCTGTAATAGGTTTTCCTGTTCATTGTTTATGAAATCTTAACGTAAAATGAACGTCATCTGCTCTATATGTAGCGATCAATTGATACAATCAGATGATATTTTTTATACAAGATGTGGACACGTGTTTCATTTGCATTGTTTAACACCATGGCTTGAAAGGTAAATTAAAAAATAGTAAAACAATTATTAAAAAGTGTGAAAGTTTATCTTATAAAATGTATAAACTTTCCAATTCATATTATTTCTAGAATAGTGCAATTATAATTTGTTATTTTCAGATCAAAAAGCTGCCCACAATGTAGGGAGAAAGTTACACAGAGTAGAATACATAGACTTTATTTTACATTTTCAAGTAATGAAGTAGTTGAATCTCAAGGTTCTACATTACAAGGAAAAGTTGACAGTTTGAAATTTCAAATTTTATTAAAAGAAAAGGATATCCAGTATTATTCTTCAAAAAACGTTACTTTAGAAAAACAAAATGCTGGTTTGAAACAAGAAGTTCGAAAAGTAGAAAGTGAAATTAACAAAAAAAATTCAGCAATTCATGCTTTGAAGGAACAAATAAATTATTTTAAAAAGCAAAGTTCTGACTGTGATTATTTAAGAAAAGAAATTGTTGAATTGAAAAGTAAAATTGAAGACCTTAGGCCGTATGTAATTTTTATATGTATTTATATTATAAATTTCATTTGTAAATTTAATTTAAAAATATTCTTTGGTGTCTTTTAGCATAAAAGTATTATTACATGCTGCTGTGACTGATGTTAGTAAAATGATTGGGAAAACTAAAGATCCAGAAACACTTACCGTGTATATTTCTGTTATGAAGAAGTTAGTAATATATAATAACATGTTTAAAAACTATATATTACTAATAAGATATTTATATTTACAGAGAATTAATTGAAAGTTTTAATAAATGCAAACAACTGCGTATGAGTGTTAAAAAGCTACAAGAAGAACTTGCTAAAGCTAATGCAAAATCTAATACCTCAGTAGAACAACTGTAAGATGTTAAAAAGTTTATTAGATATTTCTGGATTAAAAATTTAAAGTTACAACTTAAATGAATATTATATATAGATGTATATGTGTATTTTTATTACTATTTTAGGGATGTAGAAGAAAAGTTAACATTTTTAGAAAGTAAAAATAGGGCATTACAAAAACGAGTTGATGAATTAGAAGAGATATTTTATATCAATGAGAAGTATAACAGTGAATTCGAAATTCAAAAAGCAGAGAAAAAAAATGATATTTCTACAGAAAATCTAACTGAGAAAGCATTAGAACAAAATAATCATGAAACATCAAGTGGAAGTTCTGTAAATTGCACTACTAAACGAAAAATTGAAAAGGTTTGATATTGAGTGAATTAATAATAAGCATAAAAATTAATGATTGATTATATTTGTTTTATACTTCATTTACAGACTTCTAATACTAAAAGTGTACAAGAAAAAATGCATTATTCTCAAATAGAAAATGATGCAACTGATTCGGAAATAGATTTTATAAATTGTAGTTCTTCCAAAAATTCACCAATAGCTTCTAAAAAATTGAAATTACCAGAGGATGACACTTTAAATAAAAATGATAATAAATTTTCAAATTCTTCTATATCAAAAAAAAAAAATAAGAATAAAAGAGAGAAAGTATCTGGTATTGAAAACAAGCAAAATAGCCATGTGATTGATCTAACTTAAAAAGTTCCTATCAGTACTATATATGTTTTCTTTTGTATAAATGATTATTTATATTCTGAAAAAATATATTATATTTTGTCATTGTAATCAATCATTTTTTGTGTTTTTAGTAAATAAAATATTCTTTCCTACTTTTTAGTCACTTACTTGAATTATATTTACAATAAAATTGGAAAAGCAGATCCAACAAATTTCATATCATTATTTTTCATTATGTATGTCTGAATACCAAATTTATATCCTGTAAAAGATAAATTGCACTTCTTGTTCGGTCTTGTAAAAAAACAAAGCGTGTAAAGTGCTATTTCTAACTCTGGAGTTGTTCCAATAAACATAGTTGACATTTTACGTTTTCCATTGTAAGTGAAATATGTTTCTAAAATAACAGCTTTCTAAAACCATTTTAAAACAATTGAATATATATGAACCCTTTATATTTACATTACTACTTACATGAACAAATTCTTTATTATGGCCAAATCCAAAATAATTAATTTTGTTTGATAATTCTCCATAAGAAAAAGAAATCCAGTTATGAAGCCCTATCATACCTTTGCGTGGTTTACTTTCTCCTACAAATACATGTTCAAATCCAGAAGTGCCATTTACGTTCTTAGTTCGAGAATATAAATGAAACCAAATTTCTTTTAAGACATTTTTATAAACTCTTAAATCATTTTTAAAAAAACCTTTGATTGATAAAAAATGCATAACATGTAACATTGTATTTGTTTTCAGTAAGTTGACAATAAATTCATTTTCTTCTAAATCTTCTTCCTCTGTTATATTTTCTGATTGAGATGTATGCAATTCATAGTTATCAAATAACTTTACAAGAGACTTTATTGTTAGTGTTGAAAAGATCACAGATGATATATTTAAAAGCCTGAAGTTATAAAGTTCAATTTATTTTTAAGTCATAAAAAGAACAAAAATTTAGAAAATACCTTTGTGATGCATTATCAGTAATATTATTTGAGCATATATGTCCTTGATAATTTATATGCACTTGATTAAATAATTCATGGGAGGACTTAAATATTTCTTCAGATATAATCATTAATTCTTCCTCACTGGTTAAAGATGTATTTTTAACATTATTAAAATCTATATAATGAATAAATGTATTGTGTGAATAATAATTTTTCATGTATGTATATATAAGAATAATTTTGTTCTTGTTTTTATATTATTATTTAATAATTTTAGTTACCGCATTTTTTACGAATTGTAAAGGGACATACGATTTCAATATTTAGTATGACTGGAATACAAACAAAAATTTGGAAAGCTTTAATTAACATGTTTCTGAAAAGAAATATTTTAGCTATGAATAATTAATATGTATTACAGGTTATGTGTAATGATTCAGTTATGTTATTTAAAAATGTTATGTTCATTATATCATAATGTAATTAAACATATGATGATAAATTAAACATAAGAATAATAAAATAGTATCAATTTAGGCTTCATTTTCACTTAAAATAATTAATTTTTATACTATAATTTTTATGCTAATTATTATATAAACATTCAAAATCTTTATGTAAAAAAATCGTAAACAAAAATATTAATTCTTGATATTTAAATTTTGTAACTACCAACGAATAAAAAAATATGATAACGGAAAGAAAAATATTAAAGTTGAAAAGTTATTTTACAATATTAATGTTATACTAAAATTGCCTTTTGTATCATTGATTTTTAAATATTAATTGTTATAAACTATGTACAATAATTATTGCTTGCATCATATTATTGGCGATATCGAATACAAATTTTGTTTACAAATGGTCGTCATTCATCATTAGGATTGCTTTCTCAATTGTAAAAATGACAAATCGAATGGAATATATAATTTCACCATGGGAAATCGAATCGTATATAGAAAATCTGCAAATTTCTGATCTTGAAGACATTGGAACCAAAGGGTTAATTTTTTTTAAATATTAAAAATATATTTTTCATAACAAAAATATAATTTAAATATTACTTTTAGATGGTTCGAATTTCATAAAAGATTAATGTTATTAAACCAACAAAGTGTATTAGAAATTAGTGCCTTGCGAGAAGAAAGTACTAAGGAATGGTTTGTTTCCTTTAAAAAGGTAAATAAAACAAATTGTACGCAGCGATCTTTTATTTCAATAATACCCTTTTTTCTATATAGATACCTATACTTATATATGAAGCTATACAGATTGACATATGGAAGCATAAAGTATTTCCACTCTTGATTGAAATGAATGAGGAGCCGAAAAATACTTTTATGTTTTACACTATATTTTATCACGAAGATATTGCTGTTTCATTATTGGAAAACGTATTATTTCACTGCGAAAGTGCCGAAACTATGAATGATTCTGTTCTCGATCTTGTTGATTATTCTGTTAAATCTGTATCTTTACTCCTTGATGTTCCAAATATCGAAATTTATGAAAGTGTAAAAGATCCAAAGTAAGACATTGAAATTTTAACTTTTATTTCATTTTAATAAGAAAATAATATTCTACATATTGTATAGTAATAGTTGTAATTATTGTAATTAGTTCATGTCTTGAAGACATATTTGAGAAAAAGAAAGAATTTGAATTTGATATTGGCATGCGTTGTATTTCCATTCTCCGTTATTTGGCCGAATTTGCAGACAATTTACCGCTATGTGTATTATCACGATTATTAGCTACTCATGATGTACCTTATTTACTTGTTGAACTTCTTGAAAAACATCCATGGAAAAAAGAAAATGCAGAAGGTAACTGTTACTCCACAAGAGAAAGAAATATAATATAAGAAATATAAAAAATATAATATCAAATAAGATAAAGTTTTTCTCTTAAGGGGAAAGTATGTTATATAATAGTGGTTGGAAAAAAGTAAAATTAAGTGAAGAGGGAAAAATTTCTAAGATAGAAGGACAAATTTGGTTTGGTTTACGAGAATTATTGCTTAATCCAAAAAGTGCACCCTATTATGAAGTTACTGAACACAGATTTTCCCAGTTACTCAAGGTAATTTAACATAACAAATTGAATTACATGAAAAACGTTATGTTTTGTATTAGTTACAGAAATATTTGCACGAATGTGTACTGGATCAAATTTCGCCTTTAATAGATCTAAAACGATGGTTAAGTTATTTAAGCATTTCGTCTACTTACATTAGTACACCACAAGCAGTAAATGTGGAACTTATACCACAGGTTAAATATTATACCTAGATAAATACCTGTTTAAATATCTTAAAATACTAATGCCCTAATTGACATGTTGTTAGATAAAATCATCAATAATGGAGAAATATCATAAAAAGTGGAAGAAAATAGCAAAGCACCAATCAAAATTTATATATACAACAGATGCTAATTATATTAAAAATGCAGCCCAAATTTTAAGTGATGCATATGATTTAGACAAACTAGATTGCATTGAGGTTAAAGAATGTTTTTTATGTCATGAAGAAGCAAAACAACGTTGTTCTAAATGTAAAGAGGCATGGTATTGTGGAAGGTACAGATTTTCTTTTCATACATATATAAAATAGAATTATCCCTATTTTAATAATTATAATTGAATTATTATAGGGAATGTCAAGTAAAAGATTGGGTAAAACATAAGAATATTTGTGACAAAATATCAAAAAATGTAAAATATGAACAAAAAGAATAATTTAAATACTAATTTCTTTCGCAGAAAATTTTCATTATTTTTCTCTGAAATGTTTATTAATTACTTAGAAATAAATTTTATTTTATCTTTCATATATGTAAAAAAGTTATTTATGGATTAAATAAATTATACATACAAACTTATGTCCAGTATTTTATTAAAAAATCTCAGTGTACAGAACTTTGCTTAACATACTCCATTACAACGTCTTTTGCAGGAGTATCTTCCCCAAAATCCTAAAAGTAAAAAACAACAACTTAATAGATAAAAGATTGTTAGAAACTGTAATGTATTAATATTATATATTACTAAGATCAGATAGGCATTAATTGCAGCATGGTTTGTTAATTATACGGGTTCTCTCAGTAGAGGGAGCCTTGCTTTCATCATTCAATATCATTAGCAATTTACAATTGATATTGAGGAATTAATGCTAATTTTATACATTATGTAATTCTTACCTTTATAACAACACAAGAGCATCCAACAACTTTTCGAGCTTTACCAGCACTGTCAATTTTACAGAGACCTGACCATTCACCTAACTTTTTATTATTGTCTACCTTGATTAAAGGAATCTGATGTTCATTACACAATGCTTGCACAAGTTTCTTGTACATAGGTTCATCACAGTTTTCAGCTAAAATGCATAGCATGGCTTGTCTCCTAAAATATAATGCGTAAAGTAAATATAAACAAATTAATGTTTAAATTACAGTCTGTAGAATGATTATTTAACATATCAGATAAGGTTGAGGACAGCATTATTAATTTTTGTAACGGGTATTTCTCAGAAGAGGGAACCTTACATATCATCATATAATTTTGTAAAAATATTATATTTTATAAAAATGTATAAAATTCATTTAAATAAATAATTTAATAAACTCACTTGTCTAATGCTTTAGCAGCTTCATGAAGACCATGCACAACACCATCATGAATAAGTGCACTTTTAAGAACTTCTTGAAGGGCTGTGTTTACATCCATCACACCTCCTGCTGACATTGCAGAGGATAGATTGTCACTAAGAATAAATTAATCATTAGAATCTTTTTTAATTTAATTCTTTGCATTAACTTCTTAGTATAAAAATTTATGATTACATACAGTTTATGTACAGTATCAGTTTTAATAAAATTTAATATGGCAAGAAAAGGTTTACAATGATAAAAATGATTACACATAATTCCAAATGAATATTTTTTTTAACGTATGGATTTTATGATATTGATAATTTCGTTTTAGGTATACAAAACATACTCACTTCTCAATATCTGACATGTTTGTTACGGATTGGGGAACTGAAATAATAAAATAATATTAGTGAATTTGTTTTTGCGTTCACATTTTAAGGCTTTTCTACGTAAAAACTATGACGATGCTATTATAATAAACTGATTTCTAACACATAACCACATCACATGCTTTCATTTACCTTTTCTTACAAAGAAAGAAATATGGCGCTCATTTAAGTACACGATATTCAGGTTATGTCTACGTTTCTTTGATTGGTCGAGAAGTTGATATAAGTGACATCTAGAGAACATTACTAAAGATTCATGATTAACGTGATTTTCTATTGTTGATAATTTCTCTAAATTACAAATGTTTTAAAAATTTAACAATTCAGTCGATCAACATCAATTATATTCTAACATAAGAAAAATTCTATTGGTCTTATTGAAAGTGTCCATATCATATCATATTAATAACGATATTTTATTGATTCTTTAATAAAAACCATAAATCAATAATTTATATTTCATTTACGATTGTAAAATTTTTTGTCCTACATTTTTTCTATAATTTCATACTAAAATTAATTTTAATTTTAACCACTATGAGCATTGTAATCTTATTTTGTACTAAGTCGGTAACATTGGAAATGACGTTGAAATGGAAGGGGTGGAAATATTTTGTATTGTTACTATATTATATAAATACATTTAATTAGTATTACACAGATAATAAAAAAATTTTATAACAAAATAGATTATAGATAAAAATTTTAAGCATTACAACGAAAGAATTTAAAATGGTATTTAAATTAACTCTTAGAATGTTATTTTCTTAAAGTATTTTCTATATATCTTAATAATTATTAAATAGAAAATAAAGTTTACAAACTGTACAGTGTAACATTAAAAAGAAAATATAAGTACAAGTTCTATTCGGAATGTTCTACTTAAATAACTCTATGGTTTTATTTATCTACCTAAGTAATCTAATATATTTTTATGTACAATAATTTTATTCTTATCAATTACCTAATCTATAATTATTATTTAATTTGTCTGTTGCACTTAAATACTTTATGCTAAACATTCCTTTCATATATTACATTTGTTAGTAATTACTCATTTATGATACCGTTTGTTACCATTGGATGATAATCAAGAAATTTAGATAATTTACCTAGGATATGTTACAAAGTAAGTTAGTACTTATTCTCGTAAGACAATAGCGTAATCTAAAATTGTATCTATGCACACATATATTACGCTTAAATGAATTTTTCATGTTGTCATGAATGAAAAACGATAAATTCCTTATGCTATGTTGGTGGAGAGTATCTGTGATAAGGCCAACAGTAATGTGGCGGAGGTGGTGGCGGTGGCGGAGGTGGAGGTCCTGATACCGATGGATGTTGCGAATTCGATGCTCCGGTCGGATACAAATGATGCGAATGGTGAGGATGACAATTTGTTCCTGTACCTCGAGATGACGGTGGCGCCTCCAATGTGACACCTGCTTGTGTTTGACAAGCCATCATCAAACCGTGGAAATCGAATTTGTACGCATACCGTTTCCCATGTACTTTTGTCATGATATTTTTGTCGTAGTAATATCTGAAACAAATAGATAAGTAATTGTTAATGATAAAAATTAATATCTTTTATTTTAATGATTTCTGCCTATTTATGTCATTTATTTTTAGAAATTCTGCGTATTCTTTAGCAACGAAACTGAAATTTTAATGCATATGTGAGTATACATATTATTAATAACATACATTTATTCTTTGTATCACATAACCTAAAAAGTATTTTATAGTCGAAAGTTATGCCTCGTTAAGTTAGTTAAGTAAGAATATTATACTATTTTGTGCATTTAATCGTTTTAGAGTATGAATACATTTACCTACTAGAATATTTCAATTTCAAATTATGTTTCTCTTTTCACGTGGTATTGTGTTCGGTATGTTCACACGCGATGGCATTTTACATCTTGCACATAACATGGAATAGCTAATTATAATGTAATTACACTTATTTACATATTTATATTATACTTACTTTTTTTAATGTGTTTCATATAATTAGAATTTTTAGTTTCACATACAACTATATTACGTTTAATAATTATTGCATTTATCAGATGCCAATAATAAAACCAAACTACTACATATACATGTACATGTATATGTATTTTAGTAACGTACTAAATACAGAATTCTCAAAACGACACAGAAGCTAGAGGAATAGTCCCTAATATCTCTGTAACATTTTCACACATACTCTAATCTTAACCTTTCTATGTAAATAATACATTTTCAAACAATAATCCAATATAATACGCCGAAAAATCATCCTTATTTCCATTTGTGTGGATTAATTAATTAGTCACACATTAAATTGGTATATTCGTAGCAACATTTTCTTCCGCATAAAATTCTTTCTTGACCAAGTCAACCAAGTTCATAACCAAGATAATACAACTCGTTTCAGATATTCTATTTTCGCAATTACTGAAAACATGTAACCGCTTTATAAATTTAACTTTTAATTAGATACAAACACAACCTGTTCTTCTTCATCGTACCACAACAATCATTATCATCTGTACATAACTAAGTACTGTAGTTACTATACAAGTTGGTATCTCATTAATAGTATTAACGAAGATCGATGAAATTTCAAGAAAAAGTGGAAGATCGCTATCTTACCTGAGTGCACGCGACAGTTTGTCGTAGTTCATGTTCGGCTTGCTCTTCCGTTCGCCCCATCGGCGCGCGACTTCGTCCGGATCGGTAAGTTTGAACTCCCCGTTCGAGCCCTCCCACGCAATGCACGACGAGTTCGACGAATCCGAGAGCAGCTCCAGCAGGAATTGCCAGAGTTGAACCTGTCCGCCTCCGACCGCCCCGGAACCGCTGGCTCCAGCTGTCGATCCAATCAGAGAGCAAGTTCGTTGGAGGAGGCTGAACCTCTCTGCGGACAAGAAACAGAACTACGCATGCACCGGAGACTGTGATTTCCTCGAGGTCGATTCGTTGAAACTTTGAGGTAATAGCGATGGTCGCGATCATCCACTGTCTGACGTTCCATCCCTCTGTCTTTTAACCTATTTAATTTATTTTGCGTTTTCTCAACTGTGTTTTCCTTTTCACATTCCATTCCGTATCACTCAACCAGACAGAGAAGGAGGGAGAGAAGAAATTTTGTTAGGTACGACAGACAGCGAGAGATAGTTTTAATGATGTCAGAACTATTTTAGGTTAGAAGTTCCTAATTTCTTTTTTCAGGTGACACATTTTGTGCATTTTTGAATCAGATGAAAGAGTTTTATGGTTTTATGGAGAATAAGGTATTAATTGAAATTTTTTTTTTTTGTTAATATTCTGTTGCTTTTTCTAGGTTAGATTCTTATGTTTTTACGTATGTAAATAAATTTGTCTTTTATTTTTGAAGGTTGAATGAAGTCTTTATTACGTTCAATATGTCGTCTTCTGATGCTGATCTAAGTTTATGAATTATTAAAGTACCCGATTATAGTATCAAAGGTAGAGGAGTCGATGAATTTAAAATTTGGAATTGCGGGTAACAATCGTCATTTGAGAAAATTATGTTTAACGCGTAGTCGCGTTTGCTAACATAATCGGCTTGCTGCTATAACCCATCAGTAAGGAAAGACAAGAAAATTGCATAAATTGATAATAAGATGCACCAGTCTCATATCTGATAGTTAAATTTTTCTTTAAAAACTTAACAATATAAAAATGAGTAACAATAAAACTATGTAGGTATATTTTTCTAGTTTTTTCAATTAACGTGATAATTCAGCGAAGTTATTTATCCACGATGAAATCAACGCGATGAATTCTGAAGATGTAACGGATGTGTTTGAATCCTCCACATTACGCGTCGAACTATGTCGCGAGCCTAATCCTTCACCGCGGGAACAACGGTGATCGGCAGGCCCGTTGTTAATCTCATTACGAAGGTAACTAATCCGAAAATCATCCTTCTTTATTGCTTAATCCTCGAGTCTTCCCGATATTAATTTACTTTTAACTCTTTTTTAATTCAATGCTTTTCAGGACAAATTGTCACAGATTTGAAGATCGACACAAAGAAACGTATTAACAGCAATTTTCGTTATGATGCTCGATTTATCTAAAATAAAATCCATTTTTAAATCAAATACCATGGTCCGTTTCGATCTATGAAACGAAGAAGAATATTCGATTTTTCTGCATTTGGATCATGTGTTTGATCTATTTTATTTCTTTAGTCAGTCACTTTTAACTTCTTTAACGTTCCAAAAAAGAAACGATAGCATTCGATCAGAAAACGATTCATGTGTACAGTACGCCACGATATCGTGTATTTGGGTGCTCGATGATGAACCGGAGTTTTCCCGCGATAATGAAGACGATCTCGAACGATGATCTTGCGAGCACGTTGACTAGGAATGATGACAGAAAGAACACCCAGTTTACGATTTTTATACGCGCGAATTCGTGTATGTGCACAAATGTATCGCGTGAAATTGCGATCGGTGCTGATAAAGCGCGGATACGCGTGGAATAAAACGTACCAGACGGTGGACAGAGAGTAACTGAGCGACCTTTGCCCCCGGTGATTTCAGCCCTTATCGCCCCCACTCTAACTCCCGTCGACGGAATACTTTTACACCTCTGTACAGTACGCGATCGCACCTCTAACTTCAGGTACTCTCAATACCGCGAGGACCAGTGACAGTGAGCATATTAAACTTATATTCTTCACCGAGCTTAAATTTCCAAAATTTTTGAAATTTCGAAAGTCTGGAATTTTTGAAACTTGGAATGTTTTCTTCTATCGATAATATTTTCTCAATGTATCGTTATTAACGGATGTTTTTATTTTTGATAATATCGATGTCAAATCTTCAGGAATGACAGCGTGTACAAATTTTTTGATTCTTCTGTTTCCTTCTGCTTAAAAACTTAAATGCAGAATCCAAGATGGATTCATTGGTGACATTGGTGATTCGTAATTAGTTATTTTATCTCGTATGCATTAATAAAAATAAAATTGCGAGTAAGGCTGTTTTATCGTTAGATTTACAGATATTTGCAATTTTCTTCTATCCAAGACAAAGCTGATCGATGGAATAAAAATATTCTCGGAGTGCAAAGCGTTAACTTTCCTCTCCCTTCTTTTTAGTGCACTTTTACCAATTGCTTATTACAAATTTATCAACAAACAATGCAGTGAAAATGCAAAATAGAATTGCGAAATAAGAAGATACAAACGATTTGTATTCCAAACTCTAGTCGCAATACAGTAATACCTATCCTATTACATACTTGTACAAACCACCCATTTTAAAAAATTACACGGACATACATATTTTTAGGACGTTGTCTGCCATGGTGGTCACCAGTAACCGGCACCTGTCTGCTTTTCGAAAATTGTACTTTATCATATTGCTTAATAATTCATTATACTCTCAGAATAATGAAAATTTTATCGTAGCCTGAGCGCATACCTACTAAATATTATACCATACTGCCCATTACCATCTAAATCACCATTTCAACTTTCAGTGAAGAATACATTACTCGGTTCTTGCCGTTAAAAACAGCTTCCAGTAATTCCACCTTACAATTTCCATCAAACCAAAGAAAGAAATGCAGTGAACCCAGACGTATCATAAATCGAACATATACAAAATCCACAATGCTCGATTACGCAGACTCATCTGTATAAACGGTTCACGTGGCGTTTGCCGGGAAAAAAGGAGGAAAGTACATGGACGGCGGTGCATACTGGAGGTGGCTGGAAGACTTGGGCTTTCACAGGTGCCGGAAAGTTTCGCGACGTACGACGGTGACGCGTGAAATTATCCCGTATATGCCGGAGATTCGGGGGATGTTTCGCGCTCATCAAGAAAACAATATAGCCGCACCCCGTCGCGAGCTTACCATCCCTGGTCCGTTAGAGTTTGCTACCCCCTCCCGTAGCAGAGTAGATGGCAAAGGAGAAGGGTGGTAGCGGTTACTGCGAGGCCGTAACCCCGGGGTGGCGGTGCCACCACCTTTCCGCCGCCCTAAACACTCGATGGTTTATTCATGAGAGCTCTCTCACCACGATAACACTGATTCGTTTAATAAACGGCCGCTGCCGGGCGCGGAGTGTGCCCCCAAGAGCACCTACAACGTTATTCAAACGGACGATATATCTCGGAGGCTTATGCTGCCAAGACTCTGCTCTTCTCGCTTTTCGCCCGTCCACCAAAAGGTGAATCGCTCTTTTCCTCTTTCGCCAGCGGGAATCAGTTCTAGTTGCCGCTCTTTTCTCGCCGAACGAATAACTTTTGAAATAACCGTGAAACCATTCGACTGGCCATTTTTTGTTTCAGGATCAGGATCTGTCTTTGAAGCTTTCGCCTGTCTTTCCGATCATTTTTCCCCAAGCTCTCTCGATCAACCTGGCTATTTTTTCCAGGTATTATAGATAGACATTTGAGTGTGTTCTCTGAAACGAATAACTTTTCGAATAACCGACTGTCCGCTCTTTGTTTCAGGATCGAGAGCTGTCTGCGAAGCTTCCACCTATCTTCCTGATCAATTTTTCCTGCTTTTGCCAAGCTCTCTCGATCAACACGGATATTCTTCCTGGCTGGTGTTTTTGAAAATGTTATCGGTTTCATCGGATTATCGTTGGACAGAGAGAAGCATGGAGTTAGATTTGTTATTCGAGTGTTATATATCGTTTATAACACAAATGATCGGTATCGTTTTCTCGTTGTGACGGAAGTTCGGTGTGGATAAAGACGAAGGATGGAATGAGACTATTATCGTCCACGATATTTATTTTTCTGCCGGACCCTTCTTATCTCTAATAGATCGCGCCCTCGTTAAAGCTCGAGATAAGGTCCAAGTGCTCGCGAGTGGACTAGGATCGACCCTGGGGAACGGTTAGCCTCTTCCGGTCACTTTCAATTCAACTTGGACCCCTATTAACCTTTCCTAAGCTCCATGGTTCGTGCGTCATTTCGATTTACTGCGGAAAATTCTGTCTGTGATATGTTACATCGACTTTCACGAATTATAATATACGATGCTCGTACACTGCGATGTTAATCTTTAACTTTGAACGTGACGGAAAGGGCAGGAACGTATGTCGAATACCGCATTATACGCTCTGCACATAAATAATTTATCGAGTATGCTACAATGTTACTGCAATTTATATGGCTGTTGTATAGAAAGTAGACCCGTCGAATTCGGGCAGGTAGCTTATGGTAAAATAGTCGATTCGCTTTCCGTAGATAGATATGATAACTTGGGTAAAAATTTCCATGTAAGAATGTTGATATTTTAGTTTTCAAAATGGTACAATGCGACGCGAAGGAACCGACAGATCTGTCACACTTTTGCATTTCGTGTTTGCGTACTTACCGTCGATATTCTCCTCTTGCAACAAATCCGGTATTTGTATGCCAGTTGCTTGGAATTGGAGGTAACCAAGGTGTCGAGCCAAGATTTTTCCACCAGGGATAGTTTGCCAATAATCCGACGATAATTTTAATAGTTCCTTGCCAGTTGATGGGAATTTAGTCATGCTTGGCGCTGGTTTTATAGAAAAGACATTGCTGCACCATGTAATCCATGATGCAATGTTATTCGAATTCCATTCCGATGGATCTGAATAACAATTTTAATTATTTATAATAGTTTTTCAGTAAATAATCAGTAGAGTAATTTAGTAAATAGTAAACTACTCTAAAATAGTAATAGTAAATAGTAAATTACAGTAAAATAGTAATTCAGTAAATAATATAGTAGATAATAGTGAAATATTTTATAAGGAGAGACAATCTTAAATTAATTCACATATCAAAATAAAAATCTATATATGTGTTTAAAATTTGTCAAATATATAATTTTTAATAACAGTAATAATAATAATAATAATAATAATAATAATAATAA